ATGTATGTCTGCGTGAGGGTGTTGGGTGTTGGATCCCCTAGAATTAAAGTTACAGACAGTTGTGAGCTGCCATGTGGGCGCTGGGACTTGAATCTGGGTCCTCCGGAAGATCAGCCAGTGCTCTTAACTGCTGAGCCATTTCTCCAGCCCCCCTTTCTCTCATTTTTTGAGACAATGTATCATCTAAACCAGGCTGACCTAGCTTGTTATGTAGCTAAGATTAATGCTTCCACTTCCCAAGTCCTAGGAGAACAGCTGTGCCAGCTTCAGAAAGTATTCTTCCTTCTCTTCTCTTTCCTTCCCCTCTCTTTCCTTTCTGTTTTTCTCCTTCTTCCTCCTCTGACAAAAAAACTCACTTTCACACCCACCATGCTGGGAACAGAACCCAGGGACTTGTACATGTTCTAACTCAGGCTGTATCCCCAGCACCAGAAGATATTCTTGGGTTGATAAAACTATGACAGAAATCAGACAAGGTATCTTCTGAGTATCTGCATAAGAGCTTCACTCTCTCACCCTCGTCATCCCCACATACTCCCTAAGAGATGATGTAACAAATGGCTACTAACATCTATCATTTTAGAATCATGAGGAAAGGGAGTAGGTGGTTAATTATAAATCTAGGCAGTTACATTAGCCACCCAACAACTAAAATCATACTTTCCTAAAATAATAATTTTGTAAGTGACATTTTTATAACTATTTTTAGAAACTCTCTTGCTAGATTTGGCCATTATTTTATTTCAGTTTTCAGGGGAAAGGGTAAGAAGCACCACTAGTGTGCACATGTAAGTCTCTTTTAAAAAGACTGCCTTATTTTTATTTATTATTTATTTACTTTTATTTTTTGAGATAGGGTTTCTCTGTGAAACCCTGGCTGTCCTGGGGCTCGCTCTATAGACCAGTGTAGCCTCAAACTCAGAGATGTGCCTGTCTCTGACTCCCAAGTACTGGGAATAAAGGTGTACACCACTACCACCTGGCTTATTTTTGTCTTTTTTGAGACAAGGTCTGTTACAAGATATTTGATCATATGGTTAATCCCGAGATTGTGTTATTAGCTGGAAAAAACTGTTTCTAGTTGTGGTGTGGTTCAGCCACAGCAGACACCTTTAATCCAAGAGCTTTCTGCTTGAATATTGTAAACAGGATTAAATAATTCAACCATAGTTCAAGAGGCAGAGCAAGCAACCAGTTGACAGGAAAAAACCATAGAGAGTAAGAGAGAGTCAGAAGGATGGATAGAGAGATGCACAGGAAGTAGAAGGGAGAGACACTGAGTTGGAGGAGTTTTGTTTAAAAAAGCACAGGAGAAAGCTTTTTCTGGGACATCAGTAGAGAAAGGTCAGCTGGGTGCTTCCTCTGCCTCTCTGGGCTAGTAGGCTTTCACCCCAGCATCTGGCTCCTGAGTCTTTATTGGTAAAATTGGAAGTTTGAGGTTTTGTTTAAAAAAAAAAACACAAGGGTTTCTCTGTGTAGCCCTTGCTGTCCTAGAACTCTCTATGTAGACCAGGCTGGCTTTGAACTCACAGAAATCCACCTACCTCTGTCTCCCAAGTGCTGGGATTAAAGGTATGCAATACTACATCTAGCTTAAAATAGACTATTCTTTTTAATGTCTGCTTCTCCTTAAAATTATGTGAAGCTGGTTATTTCATGTCACTGTAAAATGCTTCGAGTGAAGAGACATGCTGTTACCTTTTTCTTCCAAAATACTGATGCTCTTCTCCATTCCCTCCATCCCCAGACAGGGTTTCTCTGTGTAGCCTAGCTGCCCTGGAACTCACTCTGTAGACTAAGCTGGCCTTGAGATTCACCTACCTCTGCCTCCCAAGTGCTAGGATTAAAGGCGTGCACTACCACACCTGGCCAATGATGCTCTTAATATATGGTTTCTATACAGAAACACTGCTTACTTTTACAGTTGATTCATGTTATTTCATATTATCCCATTATATGAATAGATGAGTTTGTATATTTATTAAACAGTGTTGAGCTCATGTTTGGGAAAAAAAAACAACAACTAGAAAATCACAGACATTATTTTGAGGGCTTTTAGAAATGTTAATTGGGGCTGGAGAGATGGCTCAGAGGTTAAAAGCACTGACTGCTTTTCCAGAGGTCCTAAGTTCAATTCCCAGCAACCACATGATGGCTCACAACCATCTGTAATGGGATCTGGTGCCCTCTTCTGGCCTGTAGTCATACATGCTGTATACATAATAAATAAATAAACCTTTAAAAAAAAGAATTGTTAATTGTCATATCTTTAGAGTCAAATGATACAAGCAGAGAAAGATCTTCCAATTGTATGTATACTAAGTGGCATTAAAATATTTCAACAAGTATTCATAGAAACCAGAAAGAACTTACATATTTAAATACATTTCCTTATATCATTTGATAAACAATTTACAATATATAATCAATAAAAAACTAAAACAAGCCAGGCAGTGGTGGCGCACGCCTTTAATCCCAGCACTTGGGAGGCAGAGCCAGGTGGATCTCTGTGAGTTCAAGGCCAGCCTGGTCTACAGAGTGAGATCCAGGACAGGC